GAGCTGGTTTGGTCTCCGAAAAAGACTATTGCAAAGGTAAAAACGATTACGGTGACGGTGAAATTATATTTGGTTTATATTTAGCACCAAAAGTCAAATACAACATCGTTTTGACTTCTGATGGTGTCTTAAAAGAAAAGAAAACGTTTAAAGGTTATTCTAATGATAAGATAAGTGTAGAAGATTACGTTCAGTTAGCAAGCGGACATGATGTGTCGAACGAATTTAATAAACCATGGGAAAAAAGTTTCACCAATGGAGTAGTTATTCCAAATGATAAACAAACTAAAGTTTTTAGAAGTTATTTGAATAATGTTAAAAGAAAACCACCAAACAGTGAAGGAATTATGTATCCTTACAACGACAAAGATGAGTATAGTTTTGACGAAAACTATGAATTTGATGATTTCGATTATCTTTCTAATCAAGAAGAGAATGAAGATTGTTTTAAATGAAGTTGAATGACAATTTCTTCGTTGCCAAAGTCTATGAACCTGTTTTTACCGTCTTTGATTTCCAGATTTATATCTTTGATCATGAAAGAATTGACTGGTAAATAGGTCGTTTGAAACGGTTTCTCTATAATTCTGTATCCGATCGGCACCGTAAAAGTCGGTATGCTGTATATGATTTGGCGTTTGTGCTTGTTGAAAAATCCACCGGTGATCAAATTACAGTGAATGTTGATCACGTCGATGTCGTTCTCGATGTTGGCCTTGTGCGGCGCCAATGTCTATTGCGCGTATATTCGTTTATCGAACCCTAGTAACGCATTCAACGAATTTTCTACGTTGAAATCGACTTGACTGTTATTTCTCAAGATCAGTTTTATTTTGTTCAGATTCAGATTACCTTCGAATTCGATATTGTTTTTGCCGTTCACGCTTCCTGCGTATTCGGATAGGTAATCGTTGATGGCTACGTATTCGTAGCTCCCCGGTAGTAAGCTTATAGTTTCGAACGTAACTCCGTTATCCGTTGATATTTTTAGTTGATTGTTTTTTTCGTTGATGTTTCTAATGGAATTGTAAACGGAGAAATACTTTAATCCCAGTTCGTACTGTTTATTGCGATCGAGTTCATACTCGTAGCCTAGAGACAATTTGATGTCTGGTTTATTCGAGGTGATAACGAACAATTGTTCTTTATTGGACATTTTTAATGACGTTTATATAGTCTTTTTTAGTGATGATTTGTTTCTCCAAAAGCCGTTTTAATATGGCATTGACTTCGTTGTATTGTCTGTCCGATCGATGACCTTCTTTCATGGCCGCTAATATTATTTCTAATCTATTAAGCAATTCTTTATTGTCGTCGGATAAAAACGTTATACCTTGTCCAGATGCCACCATATCATCGAATTCGTCTATTTCTTGTAAGATTGGTGGATAATCTTCTGCATAATCGCCTGATTTCTCTTCCTCAATAACTCTTGTTATATAAAAATCAACTTCTTTCAATCTTCTTGTTTCGGGTCCTGACTTTCTTATTGCATGTAGAAATTGTGAGTATGCAACTAAATCCTTGTAATCGGCAATTTCAAAATCCTTGCCATTCATTAAATCTATTAACCCTCTCGTTAATCTAAATATAAAGTCTTTTGTGTCGATTTTGAATAAAGGGGAATGTGGACTAAATATTATTCTAAATCCATTAAACAATAAACCTTGATTATCAACGTTTGGTGAAATGCTCTTTGGTAAATCTGGGTCAGGGTTTGAAAAAAGACGTTTTATATCATCTAATGTCCTAATTATAATACCATTATATTCAATCGGTTTGGGGTGTTCTAAAGGAGGTGTGGGTTCTAAAGCTAATTTATTTTTAATATCCTCTTGAGATTTTAATATGGGTTGAAATAGAGTCTGTAGATTTTCCGTTAATCCGAGTTGTTGTAATCTGTTATTTTCAACTTGGGTCTTTATTTTATTCTTAGCTTTGATATATTCTCTATTTCTTTTTAAAAAATTATTCCAATCCGTCATTTTTAAAAAAATAAAATTAACATATATCGATCATAACTCTTTCTCCCGCAGGTTTTCTAGTATTTACAAATACATATCCATGATCATCTGGGTTTCTCCATTGAGCTTTACAAACCTTTTTAAATGTATCTCTATCCATTCCGTAAAAAGATTGGGATTGGTATATGCAGTGACAGTTGTGATGTCTTCCTTTCGTGAAGAATTCTTGTTGAACAGCTTGATTTCTNTGCGCTACGCAGTCGTCAAACAATACCAAGTTCTTTCGTTTGCTATCAATATTAGACAAGTCTAGATCATTAACATTTTTCGTAAGAAAAACTTTTATATCCGTTGGATTCTTTCCTTCGATGTAGTTATCTATGATATCTTTTATTTCCACTTCTTCTTCGTTTTCTTCGTAATATTGAAATAGGTCTTGAACATCTTTCTTTGGTAAAAATTCCAAAGCTTTGAGGAATTGATAATACGATTGCTCTGGTGTTGTTGTGTAGATATACAGAGAATCGAAATCTAAAAGGTTTGGTGTTGTCAACATGTTAAAAGTGAGATGAGTTTTCCCAGAACCTGAACTACCGCATATACACATGAGCATTGGGTTATTAGGAAATATTTCTGAATGATTAAATTGCCCATTTTTATTTATTACATTTTCGTACCAAAAATCACCCCGTTGCCTTTATACTTTGAAAGGAAGATTCCCTCGCGCGAACGTATGTTTTTAAAAAATATGGCGTCGCCCTTGTGTTTGACCTTCATTTCTCCGGTGTCGATTTTATCTATTAATTTGCTTAATCCCTCTTTAACAGTTTTCTTGGTTTCTTCGACAAATCTTTGTCCGAATTCTTTAACCGTCCCTAATATATCTCCTATTCCCGAACCTCCTCGTGCTTCTCTTTCCATTGCCAAATTGTGTCTACGTTCTTCAGCTTCTTTTACTGCAGCTGCTTTATTTGCGTTGGCAGCTTTGACTGCGACAGATATTCCTCCAGTAGCTGCACCAGCTGCAGTTAAACCAGCAAAGATTAAAGGTAAGAAAGGTAAAAATCCACCTTTTTTAGTTAAATTCTCATCAATTCTTTCCAAGTCTATATCGTCTCTGACTTTGCAATGTTTGTATTTATCGATAATCTTTTGGGTTATATGCACTTTTTTTACCGTTGTAAGTTATTAGAGTCGGCGAATTCGTTTCCATAGCTTCTATTATTTTCATAACTACAGTTTCTGGTTTCATTTTTAAGGGGTGTTTTTTTTATTCAATTCTTATCATTCTTCTATCTGATATTTTAATCAAATGTTTTGCTTCTTCCAGCAATAAACAATTGCCGGTCACATCTCCTTGTGTTTTATCGATGTGAATATTTATGTTTACCCCTGTTTTGAAAAGATCTTCTTGATGAGGTGACAGATCGAAACAAAAGATTGGATGATTGAGTGAAAAATCTGTGTATTCAAACTGAGGCGTATTTCCAAACAATTCGCACATGTTTTTATAGTTTCTGTACAATTCGTTGTAATCTTTTTTGGAAGGATCAATTGTCAAAGGTTGATTGGGATAATCATCGTTGTTCAATCTGACTTGAACTTTGCGAATGATGGGATCTTGAGTATGGTTCAATGCCACTCTGAAAATGTTGTTGTTGTTTGTCTGAGAGTCTGGCAAGTTTTTGAAACCTACCATTAGATACCTCGCTGGTTTGACGGTGTTGGTAATTGGCCACGTGGTGGATTCTCCCGTTAAAGTCATGCTACCTACCGTGTTACGACGAAGAAAAGCAATTTCGATGTCTTTGGTTAAAGAGTTGAATATTCTCGTTTCCACTTCTACGGAAGGAGTGATTACCGGTATGTAAAGTTGGATATTCCTTATTTCCAATTTTGCGTCAGAGTTGTTTTCACCAAAGAATATCTTGTTGTCGTTGATTTCTCTTTGCAAATGAATTTTATACGGTAAACCTATGGAAACCTTTCTGTGTTCCAAAAGACCAAATAAAGGATACAACTTCCAATTTACGTAATTACCCCATCTGTTGTTCTCGACGATATTGTTGTATTGAAGCGCTCGTTTTTCAAATCCGTGATTTACTCCGCGAGTCACTCTTTCCAGTGTGTTTCTAGCAACTACCCTTATCCTAGCAAGGTCTGCGTCATTTTTCAACATTGTGTCAAACTCGCCGGGGTGTTTTATGGTCTCTATCGGATTTGAACCAGCTTCCAAAACCATTTCGCTGAATAAAGACGGAAAGAAGTTGTTTTCTAAAGTCGTGTTGGTTTGTGGAATTCGATTCTGAGTGGCGTCTTTGATTTTGAAATCGCATCGGAAATGGGCATCGGAAAGAAGCAACCAATTGGACAACGAATTAATGTCAAAGGTAACTCTTCCTCCGTCGTTTATTTGGGTCTTTGTCCCTACCGATGGTGAGATGATTACGTAATCCTCTTTCTTCTTGTTGAACGAATATTGAATCGGATCATACAATTGAAAGATTGGATCCAATCTGTAATTTTTGCTTGCCATTTTTATCCAATGATTTTAAACCCTTTTCCTTGTTTTTCTAGGGCTTGTCTTTCTAGTCTCTTATTTCTTAGTTCTCTTATTAGCTGAAGTTCTTTAAGTTCATTAGCTTTTTTCACTGCATCGCTTATATTTACTCCTGCTTTTGCCACAGATCCAAGAGCTGGCGCTTCTGAGGAAATGAGGGATTTGTTGTTTGAGACAAAATTGGCCACTTTGGGGATGAGAGATGCTAGCGCAGAGAAGAAACCGTCTCCTTCGAATTTTTTTTTTTCGTGTTTTAAAATTAAAGACATTTTTAATGCGGTTATTTTATACTGTATTATTATTAGTGATGTGTGGTTTGGGGTAATTTATAATACAGTTTGGGGTGGGAGTTTGTTATAATACAGTTTGGAGGAGTCTGTTATAATACAGTTTGGGGAGTCTGTTATAATACATTTTAACAGTTTTCGGATATGATGTATTGAAAAAGCTGCGCATGCGCAGAACTGAAATGCATCATATCCGAAAAGACATATACTACTAAAGTTGCATGTATAATATTTATGAATATTTCAAATCAGTAACATGATTACGTAAATCTTTATCTTCAATGAAGTTCTACAGTGCATTTCTAAACGCTAAAATAGAGTTTGAGCTCCATTGCAATGTTGGCGCTTTCAGAACAACTAATTTAACAATGGGACGTGGTTTGTCTACTTGGCAGCCCTGTCAGAGAGTGCCTTTGTTGTGCTTCTTTTGTTATTATGCAACTGATAAAAACAATGTACCTACCTGGGAGATATGTTTTCCTTGTTATCATCACAAACATCATTAGCTTCAACATTCATATCTTCATCAAATTTGGCTTTCTTCTCCAATACAACTCTTCTGGTTACATTCCTTGCAATTGTGTGCTTATTCCATTTAAATTTAGATGGTATAGCTCCTGTCTACTAATAATACTATTGAATTTAAAGTGGACTGTACAGTACTGGGGCCCGGTTTCCGCCTGTCAGTGATGCAGGTACGAGGGGCTGACATGAAAAAAGCGTCTAGTCGTTCGGATGGGACAATAAACCGAAGCTCCGTGTGCTACAGGCTGTGCACGTTAAAGATCCCTCGATAGTTGGAAATCGAAAAAGAGCAGGCTAATGCCGCTGTCCTGGTAAAATTTCCCTCATTGCACCCTGCATGGCGTTGCCCGTCTTCATTAGCCCACATGGTGCAGAAAAGTAGGACGTAAAACTCCATTCATTTAATTTAATTTTTTTTACAGTACTGGGCTTCTCAGCCAAGGCTAAGATAGATTGTGACCGAGTTTAAACGGTCAAGTGGTAATTATATGTTTATAAGAGTTATCTCCCTTATGTAAATGAAAAGATGGCTGATTAAAGATTTGTAAACACAGAATTTGAATGAATGATTGGACTTTCACATTTGAATGAGTATACAGTCCTTACTTTTTAATTCGGAGCCTTTCTATAAGCATTTGAGAACCCAACGCCGGTAAACTTACATTTTACTTATTTGTACTTTCAGAAAACCATTCAATACTGATTCTGAGAAATATAAAACCATTTAACTATAGAAGTGTTTTGTTTTCGGGGTCCATTGAGTGAGAAGCCACAGTTTTGGACAATCCCTGACACCAAAAAGACACCGACACGGAATTCCGACAGAGGCTATTTACCACGGCGAACATTTTCTAAATTTACAACGTCTTCCAAAGACGACTACGACGGCGCAAGTACCATAGAACCCAAATCTTCTGGAAGATTATCTCCTTCACAAATGTCAGAAAGAGGCAGAATTTCACAGATAGGCAAAGCTAGAGTAGCCTTTTCTTCAGCAGTACAGAACATAACCAGGTTTTGTTTTGAAACAAAAAACAAACTAGAAAACTTTAGTAAAGCAGACATCGACAATACAGTTATCACACTGAATGTTTATGTCTATCCCATCCAGACTTTCAACACAAATTAGATCCGACAGCCCCCAAGTTCTATTCCAACCACGTAAATGTTTCATCTAACAGCACTACAAACCAAACAGAGAATGACTCTGATGAATTTGACGACCTTGCTCACATAACCTTAGGCTATATTAGACACAGAGACCATCCTTCTGATTTGACTCCGATTTATATATATTTTGACGCAGAAGCTGACTCCTGTATTATTGAGACCGAATTCACTACAGATAAAGGATGGACAGGCGAAGACATATTTGTAGAGCTTACGACTATGCATGGGACTCAAACTGTAAATTGTCGACGTTTGGAGAACCTGGAGATTTTGAATTTTGACACCTCTGAAATTTTCCAATTTCCTATAGGTTATACTAGAGAAGAATTACCAATTTCTCGACAACAAATACCAACCAGAAGAGCAGCAGAATCATTTGATCATCTGAAACGTATATCTAAGGAGATACCAGAAGTTACCAACGCTAACATAGTCTTGATGATTGGTAGAAACGTGCCATTAGCAACATCACCTAGAGAAGTAATACCTTCAGTATCTTCTACATCACCATGGGCTGAGAGAAACGGATTGGCTGGTCTATTCTACATGCAAGGAAAAAAAACACACTTAGCTTGTAACTACGTCAACATAAGAAACCCTAGTACCGGAGAAGAGGACTCAAGACTACTAATAACAGAACACGAATCTGCAAAGGATGTCACAACCCATGAAACTCTATGTATGTTTGGTCGAGAATTTACAGAAGACACTCAAGATGACTTAGGTATTTCAAAAGAAGACCAACAATTTATTGACCAAGCTAATAATAGCATTAGACTTGCTGACAAGAAATATACCATTGACATACCCTTAAGACGAACTACGCCTAATCTTGGTAACAACCTACACATTGCCCAATCTTCTCTAGACCGACTAAAGAAACGGTTCACTAAGGATGAAAAACTATGCCAAAGAATATTCAAATTTCATGGAAGACGCAATAAGAAATGGATACATACAGAAAGTACCAGACAATCATTCACAGACAACTACTGCACATTATTTGACACACCATGGAGTATTCCATAAAAGGAAGAAGAAACTAAGGGTAATTTTCAACGCTAGTTTGAGAGGAGATGGAAGATCGCTCAACGATGAACTACTCAAGGGACCAGGCGCTTTATGCCGAATGAGAAAAAATCTCGCTGCGACATTGCCGCCATGTTCATGATGGTGACAGTTCCTGAATACCAGAGAGACTTACTTAGAATACTACGGTGGGAAAATGGTAACTACTCACAACCAATGACTGACTATCATATATGTTACCACCTGTTTGGAGCAGTATCTAGTCCGGCGTGCTGCATAATCGCACTCCATCATACCGTTTATAACAAAGATGACTATTCCGATGATGTATCCAGTTTTGTACTCGACGACTTTTACATGGACGACGGTTGCACATCAGCTGATGACGTTGGACAAGCTATTGACTTGTTTTTTCACAGCTCTTCGGAAAATCTAACATACCAGGAAGCTCGGCCCTTCATCCCGATGAACTTTTACAATCCACCCCTTGCGGAGACTATTGTCGGAAGGAAACCTGTGGTAACTAAACCTGTGGGAATACCTTCATGGAAATCAAAAAGCATCAGAGGAAAAGAAGGCAAATCAATAATTTAGAACGCGCCCTCCGTGGTTTCACGGGCTACATTGAAAATAACAAAAGTCACCTTTATACTTTTTACATATATTCTTCATAAAGACTTACATTTCACATAGGGTTCATACATTTCACAAAAGTTCACATAGTTCACAAAATTTCACATAGTTCACGAATTCACAATGAAAGACCACAGAAATGCGGTGAAAAACAATATCGAAATGTTCCTTTCAATGCACGAGGTTTCTCCCGCAATGCTCTTGGGAGGTAGACTTGGTCAGACCAGCTAGTCTTACTCGTCTCACACGAGTTCACGTTCACACTATATCAAGGTACTAATAATTTTGGACATTACATTCCGGCCCCTATCGAATTGTATAATGAGATACACAACTAAAATATGTTCAAAATCATATAACTAAAGCACACATTTATGAATTCTTAACTAAGAATTAGACGACGTATTATACAAGAATACGTATTATATTCGGAAATATACATTAAATAAGTTAAAATTTTACCACATACATCACGACAAATAACTATAAACAAATTCAAATTTTTACCGTTTGATATTAAAACATTTAAATTTCCATATTTAAGACATACTTTTACAACACTTATAGCACTTACAACAATATTATATACTAATTGTCACTTTCTAAGATTAAGACTAATTTTGCAATTGGACGGGTTAAGACCGTTCCCTTTGTTCTGATTTTAACACTTCTGACTAGACCGTTTTTATCTGGAAAAGTTTCTAATACTATTCCCATAGGCCAAGAACCTCTAGGAGCAGAAGAGTCTACAATTAACATTATATCACATATTTTAATGTTTTTAGATGATTTAACCATTTTTCACGAGATTGCATAGTATGTAAATATTCTTCAGTCCAGCGTTTCCAGAATACACCAGTTAGATACTGGATTTGACGCCAACGTCTTTTAGAATAAACATCTTTTTGATCAAATAATCCAGGAGGATAAACAATGTTCTGATGACACATTAATATAGAGTTAGGCGTTATAACCTCTAAGTCACTAGGATCTGTACTAACACGGGTTAAAGGTCTACTATTTATAACCGATTCCACTTCACAGAAAAGAGTTCGGAGCTCTTCATCACTTTGAGAAGTTCTTAAAAATTGTTCATTTAATATACCATAAAGAATTTTACGAACAGTTCTGATTTGCCTCTCCCACACACCACCGAAGTGTGAGGCTGTTGGAAGATTGAAATGCCACTGAAAGCCACTTTTCACTGCAAAGTTTTCAATTTGTGTTCTATTTAACTCGTTTAAAGATTGTTTGAGTTCATTTTGTGCACCAACTAAGTTTGTGCCATTGTCAGAATACACATCACTGGGCATTCCTCTACGCGATATAAAG